GCATGTTATTAAACAATGAATGGGTTACCAATGATATCAATAAAGAAATCAAACACTTCGTGGAAAAAAAACGAAACTGAGCAGACAACAACCCAAAATCTATGGGATGCAGTGAAAGCAGTCCTAAGAGGAAAGTTCATAGCCGTACAGGCATACCTCAAGAAACAAGAAAAAGCTCTACCAAACCATCTAACAAAACAACTAAAAGAATTAGAAAGAGAACAGCAAGAAAAGCCCCGAGGAAGTAGAAGGAAGAAAATAATAAAGATCAGAGCAGAAATGAATGACATAGAGACAAGAAAAACAATACAAAAGATCAATGAAACCAGAGCTGGTTCTTTGAAAAGATAAATAAGATTGATGAACCTTTAGCCAGACTCACCAAAAAACAAAGAGAATGGTCCCAAATANCTGGGTGAAACCGTCAAATTCCTAGAAGTATACAATCTTCCAAAACTGAATCAGAAAGAATCAGAAAACCTGNAATGGTCCCAAATAAATAAAATGAGAAATGAAAAAGGCAATATATACTACGCAGCTGTAAAGAAGGTTCTTGTACCCTTCGGGACAGTATGGATGGACCTGGAGAATATTATGCTGAGTGAAATAAGCCANAAACCTGAATAAGCCAGTAACAGATAATGAAGTTGAAGCAATAATAGAAAAAACCTGCCAGCAAACAAAAGTCTGGGACCAGATGGATTCACAGGCAAGTCTTAACATACATTAAAGAAGAATTAACACCTATTCCCCTCAAACTATTCCAGAAGATTCAAGAGGAGGGAAAACTCCCAAGCTCTTTTTATGAGGCCAGCATCATCCTAATCCCAAAACCAGATAAAGATACTGCAAAGAAAGAAAATTACAGGCCAATATCCCTGAACATAGATGCTAAAATACTAGCACACCAGATCCAGCAATACATTAAAGAGATCATACACCACGAGCAAGTTGGATTTATTCTGGGCATGCAAGGCTGGTATAATATTCGTAAATCAATAAATGTGATACATCACATAAACTTAATGAAGGACAAAAATCATATGATCATACCAACAGATGCAGAAAAACCATTCAAAAAAAGTCTAGCACCCATTCTTGATAAAAACTCTCAGCAGAGTGGGAATAGAGGGAACATACCTCAACATAATAAAGGCCATATACAACAAACCTACAGCCAACATTATACTCAATGGTCAAAAATTAAAACCATTTCTCTTAAAAACAGGAACAAGACAGGGGTGTCCACTTTCACCACTCTTATTCAACATAGTACTGGAAGTCCTTGCCACAGCCATCAGACAGGAAGAAAACATAAAAGGTATCCAAATTGGAAAGGAGGAAGGAAAACTGTCATTATCTGCAGATGACATGATATTGTACATAGAAAACCCTAAAGACTACCAAAGTACAACTAGATTTGACAAATGAATTCGGCAAGGTAGCTGGAAACAAAATTAACATCTGGAAATAGATGGCATTTTTATACACCAACAATGAACTCTAAGAAAGAGAAACTAAAAAAGCAATGCCATTTACCATTGCAACTAAAAAAATAAGGTACCTAAAAATAAACTTAACCAAGGATGTAAAAGACCTTTAATTGGAAAACTACAGGACACTGAAAAAAGAAATAGAGAAAGATATAAACAAGTGGGAAAATGTACTATGTTCATGGATTGGAAGAATTAATATAATTAAAATGTACATACTACCCAAAGCAATCTATAGATTCAATGCAATTTTTATTAAAACACCAACAGCATATTTCACAGAGCTAGAACAAATATTCCAAAAATTTATATGGAGCCAAAAAAGACCCTGAATAGTCCCAACCATCTTGAGAAAAAAGAACAGAGTGGGAGGGATCAGTGTACCGGATTTCAAACTGTACTACAAAGCCATTGTAATCAAAACAGCTTGGTATTGGTACAACAAAAGACATATAGATCAATGGAACAGAACAGAGACTCCAGAAATAGACCACATCATTATGGTCAGTTAATATTTGACAAAGGAAGCAAGAGCATCCAATGGAGCAAAGACAGTCTCTTCAATAAATGGTGCTGGGAAAATTGGACAGGTACATACAAAAAAATGAAACTAGATCACCAACTTACTCCACACACAAGAGTAAATTCAAAATGGATAAAGGACTCAAATGTGCGTTGCAAAATCATAAAAATCCTGAAGAAAACATAGGCATCTCACATAGTGGAATTTTCACTGATACAACTCCTAGCGCAAGAGAAATAAAAGAAAAACTAAACAAATGGGACTACATCAAACTAAAAAGCTTCTGCACAGCAAAAGAAATCAGCATCAAACTACAAAGGAACCCTGTGGTATGGGAGAACACATTTGCCAAGGATGTGTCTGATAAGGGGCTAATTTCCAAAGTGTAAAAAGAATTCATACAACTCAACAAGAGGAAGACAAACAACCCAATTAAAAAATGGGCAAAGGACCTGAACAGACACTTCTCCAAAGAGGACATACAGATGGCCAAGAGATATGTGAAAAAATGCTCAACATTGCTAATCATCAGATGTAAATTAAAACCACAATGAGGTATCACTTCACACCTGTCAGAATGGCTACCATCAACAAATCAACAAATGACATGCTGACAAGGATGCAGAGAAAGGGGAACCCTGGTACACTGCCTGTGGGAATGAGGACTGGTGCAGCCACTATGGAAAACAGCACGGAGGTTCCTCAAAAAATTAAAAGTGGAACTGCCTAGAGGTGTTCCTGATTCTAGGAATATATCCTAAGAATCCTGAAACACTAATCAGAAAGAATATATGTACGCCTATGTTCATAGCAGTGCAATTTACAATAGCTAAGATATGGAAGCAGCCCAAGTACCCATCAGTAGAGAAGTGGATAAAAAAGCTGTGGGAAATTTACACCATGGAATATTATGCAGCTGTAAAGAAGGACCTCGCACCCTTTGGGACAGTATGGATGGACCTGGAGAACATTATGCTAAGTGAAATAAGCCAGGCAGAGAAAGACAAACATCACATGATCTCACTTATATGTGGAATCTAAAGAACTTAATAAACTGATGAACAAAATAGATTCAGTGACATGGAAGCATGGAACAGACTGATAAATCTCAGAGGGAAGGTGGGAATGGGTGCATGGGTACGTCCAGAGAAGTTAACAAAAGAATTTATATTCATATATGCATAACCCAAGGGCACAGACAATAGTGTGGTGAGGGACTGGGGCGGGGAGTCTGTGAGGGGTGGAATGGGTCAATGGGGAGAAAAAGGGACATCTGTAATATTTTGAACAATAAAAAAATAAATAATAGAAATAAATGAAAGTACACTCTTCTACACAGTCTTTGCTGTGAGCATGTACAAATGTATGGAATTCATGTTATTTCATAAACTAATTCATGCATTAGGTATCTAGAACATACTAAAATAAACCTTTGATAGCACACAGGTAAAAAAAAAAAGAAAGAAATATTATGGTAATCATTTTGCAATATATACATATATCAAGTCATTATGTTGCATGCCTTCAACTTATATAATGTTATATCTCAATTATATTTTGCTAAAACTCTGGGAAAGAAGAAATAAACATGCATATACAGAGAAATCTGATTGTGTCATTCACTTAATGATAAACCTTTAATAGGAGTACTTCTGTTGCTCCTAGGCTAAAGCCCAAAATAATTAAGGGGGCCTGCCATCCATCCACAGCTAACAAAACTCTCCCCCTTGCTTAATATGCTCTAATCATAAGAAATGCCTCTCAGTTCAAGTCCTTTATATATGTTGTAGCTTCAGGTCTCTGCACATGCTGTTCGTTTCCTCTACCTAGAATACTTACTCCAGCCACCCCTCATCCACCTCCATCTATCCCAATTGATCTTTCAGTTCACATCACTTCTTCAGGGAAGCCTTTCTGATATTCCAGACAGCATCAGGTCCTCCTTTTATAAGCACTTACAGAAACTTACTTTTCCTTCATAGCTCTTATTACAATTTGCAGTTTTCTATTTTTAGGTGGCATTACTCATATCTGTTGTCACTCTTACTAGACTCTAAACTCCATGAGAGCAGGATTGTTGCCTGTCCTGCTATATCCTGACATCTAGTAAGAGCTCAGCAAATATTTGTGAAAGAAATGACTGTTCCCTGTTAATAAGGGTGGACCTTGGCTTTGGCACTAGTTCCACTTTCCTCTCCATTCCAAACCCTGCCATCATATAAGTAGCCTCAATGACTATAGACGACTCGCCCAACATTCTAGCTTCACTGACCCTTGATCTACTCTACTTCTACAACCTCTGACCACATGCCACTTCACATGCCATTAGTGTTTTAGATTACCCCATAACCATGGAGCTGCTCCATTTCAGAATTCCTGAACTCCATTCTCCCAATCTCTGGCTACAATCTCCTAGCCTTATTACTTCTTGGCTCTCAGAATACTCACTCTTCACTGTCATCAAGATTTCCCTTCCTTTGACTTCTCATTGCTTTACTCCCTATCCAGTCTAGAAGCTATGGTACATCATTTCAACCACTGTCTTGTTAGCAGCCTCACTGCTCTTACCATTTTTAATCTACCATTTACTGAGCAGTTACTATGGGCCACCATATATGCATTATCTCTGTAACTTCTCATATGTATATGAGGTAGAGACCACCATTATCCCCTTTTACAGATAAGGAGAAGGATTCTTAAAGAGGCAAAATAACTTGTTCGAGGTCACACAACTAGAAAGTGGTAAAACAGTGTGGAGTTGGGATCTGAAAGAGATCTGTCTGACACCAAGGTCTGTGCTCTGCACCAGTAGATTATTTTGTTGCTCAGATAACTCTGACTGCAACATGCAGTTGAACAGGATATGGAAGCAGGCAAGCGTGAAGGCTTGGAGACCAAGTCAGCAATCCAGAAGAGAGTTGACGGTGGACTAATAATCATCTAACTGAACATGGTAAAGAATTCAAACTTAAAGTCTCACTTACTCCAGGTGAATTCAAACTTAAAGTCCCATTACTTCAGGTGTGTGATTTTACAGGATAGACTTGGTGGTCTCTTCTAGGTGTGCCTAGAAGAGATCAGAAAGAAATCAGCAATTTAATACATTCTTTCAGATTAAAATTTTTACTTTAAGTTATCTGGAAATATATATAATGTATACATTGCCCTTTATTAATTGCTTCCATGTGCTGGGAATTTATCATAGTCATATTTACACTTCCAACAACGCTGTGAGCTACTATCCCATTTTATAAATGAGGACAGTGAGGCACAGGAAGATCAGGGAAATTGCTTTTGGTCACACAGTTAGTTGATGGTAAAGACGGGATCAGAACCCAAGTCTGCTGGTCTTCTTCTAGTCACTTACCCAACAAAGTGCTAACGTGAAGATCATAGTTCCCACACTACACACAGGCTGTTGAGACACTTGTGGGGGGCAGAGGGTGGTGGGGGGATCAGACCAGACACATTAATACCTCTGCCCCAACCTTGGCAAGAAGTCAATGGGCAGATCTGAGGCTAGTGAAGTCACCAGGCTGGTGCACGAGAAAGGACCTTGTTGCAATGTCCAGCACCTGGCTTTATGGGGAAGGCCACTGAGTCACCTGTTCCTTTTCTCCTCTCACAGAATCAAATGATACTTGGGAAGTAACAAAGTAGCCTATTTGGGTTTTCTCTCCCACTTTAAACAGGAATCAGGGGTCCATGGATGGCCAGTCTTGGACCCGGGACCTCTCTATGCTTACATGCAAAGCTTTTGCCCTTTCTTCTTTCCTATTTTGAAGAGATGGTCAACAGTTTTCCTCAGTATTTCAAATGGGTCATGTCCACCCTCCCTACCACCCCAAAAATAAAAAGTCAGTGAGGCAGGATACTTAGATATTAGGAGAATTTTTGGAAAGTGCAAAAAGGGAAACTGAGACAGATGGTTAGCCATATAGGGCCAAACAAGTCAAGCAATTTACAGCCAGCTAGTAAATTGCAAAATCTTCCAAGGACACTTGAGAGCAAATGGTTTAGCCTCTCCTCCCTAACCAGAGAGTACATAGCTTAAACCACCCTGGTCAGGAATAGAGATAACAGAGACCCAATCAGTGCAATTAGTGCCAGCCAAATCCAAGAGGGGGCCAAAGTCAAGGGATGATGACAACAACAACAATTTGAACGAAACAAATCCAAGATAGAATTGAAGCTGACCAGAAAAATGACCCTGGTCTCTCTATGCACTCATTTTGGTACATCAACATATTATGTAAAAACTCACTGGGAAATCTTATGAATATTATGCTGAAACCCTCCCCTAAGACCTCCCCTAGGGTGCCCCCCCTCACATATACACAAAAAAAGGAATAAAAGCCCCCGAGACAAAGGATGCCAGAGGGCTCTTTCTGGAATATGTCCATACCTTTTCTTTCTCTTACCTGAACTTTCTTCTAAACTCTAAGGGTCCCCGGGGACTTGCAACCAGGGGAGCAGCAGCAGCTGCACCAGGGCTAACTCCCTGAAACTGTCTCCAAGGCCCCCTTCTCTCTGGAATTTCTAGAGAGCCAAAGAAGCCCACCTAGGCTGTCTCTTGTTGCTTCTTCTATCCCAAGATCTCGTTTCACTGTCCTCAGCTTTAATAAAGTACTCTCAAAATCACCTGGATTCATGTTGTAGACTCTAGTCTGCAGGAAATTAAAAACACACACTACAGGCCGCTGGCTGCAACCGGCTCCGGCTCCCGATTGGTCCCTTTCCGGTGACATCAGCATTCCTCTCCCTCTCCCCTCCCCCTCACACCTTCACAGCTGTAACCTGCGGCACACACATCTACCCCCTACCCTGTCCCTCTGCACATACGCGCATCCCCAAAATGCTCATCTATACAACCCTCCACCCGCTCATCCCGGGGAACCTCTCCCTTCCCCCTCGCCCCTCTCCCTTCTCCCGGGCTGGTTTCTGGACCCCGCAATCCCAGCCCTCTTCTGCCCTCCAGCTTCGCGGGCAGCGAGGCCCCTCCCAGGAGTCACGCTGAGCTCACTCTGCCCGAGCCGGCAGCAGACTCGCAGGTCTGTCTGACTTAGCAGAATACACCCGCAGGGTCCACAGGGAAGGGAGCAACTCAGCCTTAAGGAACTCCCTCGATTTCATTTCCCTCCGAATGGGGAGGGCGCGGGACGCGTTGCTCCTCTTTGCGGGGTACAGGGCTCACCAGGTTCCCAAAGCGGGTGTACCTTTCTTCTGCTTCCGGTCAGAAGGTCTTGCGGAAAGGATTCGGAAAGAGAAAGCCCAGGTCTTTGGGGCGGGGAAAAGGGAATGACTCAGAGAGTAGGCGGCTCAGTGGGAGGGGCTGGCCTGGAAAGGGGTGGAGGCGTTGGGAGGTGGGAATGAAAGGGGAGGGAAAAAGAGGGTCGGAAAACGGTGGCTGGGACGGTCTTGAGGGTGTTTAGTGTAGTCCTGGGAATCCTGCCTGGTCAACTCCGAATCCAGGACCCACTAGGCTGGCCTTAAACTAGTTTGCCCCTCACCAAAGGCAGCAATGGCCAAGACCCTTGGCTAGCAGCTCACTAGTTACCACGGAATCTGCTGATCTGGGCCAGGGCACAGGAATTCATTCTTCGTGGTGCCAATAATAATCTTTACCTCAAAGGGTTGCTCAGGGGATAAATGAGTTACTACATCTTAGGTGCTTAGAACAGTGTCAGGGAGAGTGTAAGCTATCATTAAGTGATAGCTCTTATTATTACAAAGTATTCATTCGTTGATGGTCTATCTTCCCTCTAGATTATATAAGTCTCCTGAGGGCAGAGAGTATGTATTTCATTCATCACTGAACTCCAGCACCTGACACAAAGAGGCTATAAATAAATTATTTCTTGAATAAATGGATAGATGAGTGATTGAATAATGGACTAGTGGCTATGTCAACCAAGGCCCTCTCCTCTGCCATGTAGGGGGTGCATTTGTGTAGGTTTGAGGAAAGGTAGGAAAGGTGGCACATAGGACCTTTGTTATTTGCTATATGTTACTTGCTCTACCCTTGGAAAATGGAATGTCTCTGGCAATTTTCTAAACTGACACATTGAAAACTGTCAGATAACTGACCTGAAATTTGAAACAGACATGGAAGGCTAGAGCAGTATTTGCATCTTTTGCAGTTAGTGGGTAAAACAAGATGGGGGATAGGGCTGAAGTGGAAACCTCAAAAATAATGGTGGCAAATGTGTTCCTAGCGAAGTGAAGTGTGTATGGAGGAGTATAGTCACCCCAGAAAGGGATCCTGATGGAGGTCCTAAAGTAACAATAATGTTATCCACCTCTCTGTTCTAGTCATAGGGTTTTTGATGATCTACTGTGATGTCTCAACATTTTGGGGGTAGGTATGCAGATTAGGCTCCTACCACTAAATTCAACAAATTTACATATATAGAAATTAATACCGTTAGAGCTAGAAGAGACCTTAGAAATTACTCATACATTTGTAGTTGAAAAACTAAGAATCAAACTAGCAAAGGACTTGGGCTTTGGGATTCTTTGGCCTTTGTACTGAATCTTGCAAGGCCTGAATTAGTTGTGTGTCCCATTACTCTTTTAATCCCTGCACCACACTATCCCAACCCCAAAGTGTCTTAGAAAAATAAAAGAACAGGAATAGAAGGTTAGCAGAGGGTATGGAGAAAGGAAGTTCCTCAATAGACCTTACTTCACTTCCTTTTACCAGCCCCCAGGGAAGATAGCTGGGCATTCAGCTAACTGCTATAGAAAGGCTTCCTCATGGTACCCTGGCAGCCTTACTCTATCCACATAAACACCACAGGCAAATGCCTGAAGTGCAGCCAATCTGAGTCTTAGCAGAACACCTGTGAACCTCCCAAGAGTGCACAAGAGGATGGGAGGCCGGCAAGAACTTGCTTTAAGGCCATCTTTCACTCCCCTCCTTACCGGCTTCTCCCCTGGGAGACTGTCAAGAAATGGTTTTTCATAGCCTCCCACTTGCTGGGATCTGGTGAGATAAAAGTCTTTCTGACTCATCCCCTCAGAATAGAGCTACAGAATATGAAGCCATTTAGCTCAGTCTAGAATTGACTTCTTAGCAACAGACTATCCCACAACTACCATTGCAGTCCTTTGATCCCTTTTGTTTAAAGCATCATCTATTTTGGTGTTTGGGACAAGGACCACTAGAAGCAGGAACCACTAACTACTTTATCTTTCACTGTGTAAATAATAAACTGAATCTAAAAGTGATTTATTGTATCTTTACCTGCTAAATCAATCAGGCCTTGGACTCTACTTTGCCTTGTGTGCTTAACAGCTGGTTGCTATGGATTTCACATTTCTGGTAATCAAAGCACCCTCCCTCATCACTGAGGGCACTGAGCTAGACAAAAATGTAGACAATTGTCTAACCATTATGCTGTACACCTGAAACTAGTATAAATAAATTTTGAATGTCAAGCATAATGGAAAAGTAAAATTTTAAAATTGTATCTTTAAAAAAGATATGTAGATCATAATGGCTTTTTCCTGTCAGTGTACATCAAAGAGAAAGTCAGCGCAAATTCTATTTTCTGGGACTTACACGGTGACTACATTATTGATAATTAATTCTTCTAGTTGTTTTCTTTGAAGCAGACTGGCCTTAAAGAACAACAGCCTCTTACCAAGTGGCAGTTGTGGGATTCTAGACCAGGGATATGTGTCTGAGGGGTACTATAGGAGTGGTGGTGTGGAGTTCACCTAAGACAAACCTCATGACGTAAGAGGTGGCCCATCTGTCGTTCTGCTTATCAGGTTCTAATTGTATTCGACCAGCATTAACTAAGTATCTCCTATGTACAATCTGGTAAGAGCTTCCATTCTCATCCCTACATTTCCAATAAAGGCTTCCATTTTCAGCTACCACTAATAACTCAAATTCGCAGATCAAAAACTACTTGGGAAGAATTATTACACTGGGTACCCCATTAGATTACAAATGTTAGGAATACTTTTATTTTAATATGACCCCACAGAAATGACAGAACTGGGAACATAAAGAGTGACCAATAAATGCCTCTTGAATGACCAGGCAAGACCAGTCACAACTGCAATTTGCATATTGTGCCAACAGTTACAGGAAGACCACCTTGATCTTTCACCCCTGGAAATTCAGTGGAGAGGCATGCTCATTAGCTATTATGCTATATACATTTGCAATATCCATGTAACAACCTACTTGGCTTCTGTTACTCCTAACCTTTGTAACAGACCATCTCTCTCCCACCTACAGGTTCAGCTTCTCTGAGACTTTAGAACCAACCCTATCCCTACGTGGGGGAACACAAAGGGCCCAATGTGCTCTGGCCTGGCACATTAAGTGGAGCCAGACTTTCCAAACATCAGACCCCCAAAATTATATAAAATCTTAGCTGTGAGTAATAGCCCCATATTTGGCTTTTGCCCATGTTGCTCTTCAGTTAGACCACTAACCCCAATATTCCAAATTCTAGACTCTTTTGAATTTTACTCTTCTTGCCTTTGGGCTATAGTTCCTATAGGCCCTTGGTCTGACAGCCTGTTTCAAGTCACTTCTCCAGCTGCTGCCGTTGACTGGCCTGCTTCACTTCACAGTACATGCCCTTTAGACTCAGTGCAACCACAACTCTGATTAAAGTATTCCTTAACTCAGCTCTGAGGCAGAGCCTTAACCTTCCCAGGTGCCCCCTACAGGACAGTAGTTGAATATAGCAAGTCAGTTCACTTCTGGCCCTACCCTGACCTTAATCAATACGTTACAGCACTGGGATTTTCTTTGTTCTTCCTTAATTCCCGCTTTCTCCCCCAACCCCTGAAACTGTGCCATGTTTCCTTGGGCTTTATACCTTAATTTCTTTAGTCTTCCTAAAAGGATACTGCTTCTGAAACCAAAGTTTTCATGACTGGATCTCAATTTTCATATGCCCTGCATCCTCTGTGCCCAAATCTGCACCTATTTTCCCCAAATCATTTAGACAATTCCAGTAACTCATGGTTATCTTTCCTTTAATCTTCCTCTTAATCTTCCTCCAATTTAAACTCCAGTGAGAGACAATCAAGAACTCATCAATACGTATATATTTATTTAATTCATAATATAGCATTTTGGATGGGCTGGGATATTTAAGAGGGATGAGGTTGTGTAATCCACAGATGCTCAGATTTCTGTCACTAGGAGAGATGCTGTTGATCCAGAGCTCCCCGTACAGCAAGCCAGGGGTAAAATATTTGATAAAAAATATCCCAACCATAGTCTAATAAATACTTTAGCCAACAACAACACAGTGTATGTCTGAAGCTGGCAGATTAGACCATAAAAAGTAGTTTTACCTGGCCAATCTGTAATACACAGCCCAATACAGCCCAATGGCTCCAAGGCTGCAACTGGCTTTGGGAACTTAAATAATTGTGGGAGTGGTTCTTATCTGTCAGCCTCATATTTTCCACTCTGTGGAGAAAAGGATATTAAATATTGGAGCTTATCAAAAAGTCCATCTATGGATTGTTCCATCCAGGTAGTCATATATAAATATGTAAACCATGGAAGCTTAGAAAATTCACCTAGTGTATTTTAGCTGAAAAGAATATGTAAATGATTTTACTGCAATCTTAATGTCACTGCATCCAAATTTACACAATGGAATTACATGATAAAAACACATACAGATGCAGTTACTCTTACTTACAAGTAGCCAGACCTCCAATGTGGCATTAAAATTTCTTTCATATACTGAAAACAGGTTTAACTTTATTTTTTTTTATTTTTGTGCTTTCTTCAATAAGACAGTATAAAAGTCGAAATAAGCATAAATTGCAGACAGATAGAACAATTTGCTAGCAGAAAGGATTGTGGGAGAATAAATTGAATAGAGCAACAACAATAAAAACTTATGGAGTTATGTTCCTTGATGTTAAACACAGGTCCTATCCCTTTTGTTCAACTGGGTTCAGCTAAAGGTAATCAATTACTTCTGCTAAGGTCCCTAGCATTGCCAGTATCCTACGAAAGTCTTAAGTTTACTGAAGTAAGTATCTGGGACTCACCACACCCCCACTGAGTACTTTATTACCATGTTGTTTCTTGGAAAGCAATTTTCATTTCATTATCTGGCTCATAACCTTCATTGCTTATCCTAAACACAGTTTCATTTCCTACTTTATTCAGTAGGCTTAGCTCTGAGTGGATTTTGGCTGTAACCAAAACTTAAATCTACCTTCAAAGAACAAAGTTGAAAAAGACTGAAAAGTGATTGAAAAGAATGGTGTCACATGCTCAACACAATTCCTCAAGTCAACTTCCAAAGAGTTTTTGAGGAGGGCAATACTCATTTATGTATGTAAGTCCTGGGACATCTGCAAAATAATATCAGTATAGCCCAAATGGAGATGTAACCAAGCTTTTCTGTCCAGGAAACAACAAACACCGGTATGGATATCAGAATACAACAGGGAAACTTTGATCATTCATTCATTCATACATTTGTTCAATAAACATTATCCAGGCAACTATTCTGTTCCACACACTGTCAGGCGTTAAAAATACAACAACAAAAACAAAAGACACAGTCCCTGCCCTCAAGATATTCATAGTCTAGTATAGAAGATGATTGTTATACATTAAATTTTTGTGTGCATCAGAATTACCTGGAGAGGTTGTTTAAAAATGTAAAATTTGTTAAAATGTAAAATTCCACCCATGTGTCCATATATTCTAATTAAGTAGATCAGGGGTTGGGCCTACTAATCAATTTTTTAATCAAATACCAAAAATGATTCTAACTGGTGGTCTAAGTACCACACTCTGAAAAGCATTGCTATCCAATGTGATTATTACTGAGGTGGATGGGGTGGGGATTCTCAGGGTGCCATGGGAGCTCCAAAGAGGAGAACATAACCCAGTCTAGAGGATGAGAGTTAATCTGATTAAGAGGGATGAGGATGGGGAAAGGTAGTCCAGGCTAGGGTAAAAAGTAGGATGGGGGAAGTTGAAGCTTTGTCTCAGGGCACTAAAATCCAAAGGGCACAAAAAAATGAACAGTATGGAAGACCGAATGACACAGTAAAGGAAACTGGACTGAGGTGGGGGTGGAATGGCTTTTGCACTTTTAGCATTTTAATTCAATTTTCTTAAGAACAGTTCCTACTGTTTACTTCCTGTGGGCATCAAAATTGTGATAATGCTTCTATTCCAGGCTCATAGAACAACTTGTATAAATAGTTAAGCTTGGCTAGGGTAACCAGTGTGATGGGGAAAGCAACAAAAGATGAAGCTGGGAAAACACACTGGGGCCTGAAAAGCCAAACTCTAAGTAACTGGGACCATCTACTGAATACTAGGGAGGGGAGGGCAGTGGAAGATTTTATGAAGGGGAAAAATCATTTGTTTTAAGTTTTGGAGGATAGACCATAAAGGAGATACCAGAGTAACTTAGAAATGAAAGGCATATATTTTAAAGCACTGCTACACTCTAGTGGGGCAGGGCAGGGGCAAGGCAGTGGAGAGAAGCTTAATATTCGTTATACACTTAACTAAATGCCAGGGGCTGTGCTAAGCAGTTTACATGTGCTGTCTTTTTTTTTATCCTCACCCAAGGATATGTTTATTGATTTTAGAGAGAGAGGAAGAGGGGGAGGGGGAGAGAGAGAGAGAGAAACATCGATGTGAAACATCTGTTGCCTCCTGTACTCGCCCCAACTGGGAATCAAACCTGCAACCTAGTATGTGCCCTGACCTGGAATCGAACCCATGACCTTTTGGCACACAGGACAACACTCCAACCAGCTAAACCACCCAGCTAGAGCCCAGGTGAATATTTTGAGAGTAGGTATACAATTGAACGGATGTTCATTTTGGGGTCATTTTCTTACTAGCGTTTAGAAACAAATCACAGCTAAAAAAATTTTTTTTTCTTTCAGAGAGAGGAAGGGACAGGGACAAAGAGAGATAAAAACTTCAATGATGAGAGAGTCACTGATCAGCTGCCTCCTGCCTGCCCCCCATTGGGGATTAAACCCACAACCCAGTCATGTGCCCCAACTGGGAATCGAACTGTGACCTCCTGGTTNTAGGTATGTGCTCTGAATTGGAATCGAACTCACAACCTTTTGGTGTACAGGATGACACTCTGAGCCAAATGGCCAGGGCAATGTGTGCTTTTTAAATCTTTGCAACAAGCCTTGTTAGGTAGGTATTTTACAAAAGAAGAAACAGGGTTTCAGAGAAATGAAGTGCTTGCCCTCGGTCATTCTGCTGGTTAATGGCAGAGGAACTAGGATTATTTTAGTCCAAAGGCTATGAGCTCTCCATTACAGCAAGCTATTTCCCAGCATTACAGAATCTTACTGAGGTTGCTCATTTCCTGATTAGCAGTAAGTACATATGGATTTTTAAACCAAAATCTCATTTTGCCACTAGATATGTAAGTTTGAGTCTGCCATCTGCCTCCATCTTGCTTTCTATGTTAGATGAAAAAACAACACAAAAGTGTCATTTAGGGGATTTATATAGATACTTTGTCTCTCCTACAAAATAGTAAGCCATTTGACAGCAGGGACTGGGTTTTATCAGTATTTCAGCAGCAGGATGGTACCTGGCATCTAGTAGTTTCTTGAATGGATTAACAAATGAACATTCACCAAGTGGTAGAAAGAACAGGGAAGAATGTTTGGCATTCTTTCAAGGCTCCAATCTCAGGGCTTGTTACAGCTACCATTTTGTACAACAGCAATGTTTTTACAACTCCCAAAAAGTAGACTTCTTGAAGCAGGCTCAGCTCCTGAAAAGGAGAAAGCTCTGGGTCTGACATCCCCCATCCCTGCAGTGGAATTGACAAAAGCACAGACTAAAGCTTGATTCCCTTCAAGGATAGTGATGAGGACTGGCATAAAGTTTATAAGTGCATTTGCAATGAAGGGTTGGCTAAGCAGATAGAGTACAAACAAGACTGCAAAAGGAATGATTATTTAACCTGTTTAAGAAAACAAACTCTTCTTGGGCATTCTTTTTTTTCCCCCTCAGGTATTAAGAAAATTCAAGCAAATAGTTGTATCTATAACACTCCATTCTGAGTAAGTAAACAAAGCAGGTTTTTAAAGACCCTCCACTATTTTTTTTTTTTTTGGCATAATTTTAGTGACTGTATGTACTTGAGAATTAAAAAAACTATTTCTTTGAAATATTCTTTGACACAATTTTTAACAATTTAGGTGAACTTACTCTATTAGATAGCATCAATGAAACTGTGCTACATGTAACACTTCTATCTGGATCAATTTGCTATCTAGTGATAGTATCACTGTGCAGTATTGTCCCTCAATCTCTCCTAATCCAACCTAGAGTTCTTCCTACCATCTATGCCATTACTTCATGTGAATGTGTATGTGTGACAGTAGGAAAGAAAAAAGGGATGAATGGAGGGAGGGGAGTAATGTTGACTAATTTTGATGTTTCCTATAGGGGACAGAAATGAATCGTATAACTTATTTCCCCTTCCAGTATATTTTTCACCCAAATGAACGAATTAAAAAGTCAATTATGTATATAAAATATATAAAATGAATAAATATACAGCATTTATTCATTTTATAAATATATATACATGTTTTCTTCATAAAAAATCCTTAATTGTAGATTTTTATTATAGGCTACATATAATATGCAATCATTTAACACTTCAAAATTCTACTGGGCCAAATTAGCCAGTACTAGAAAAGCTGACATGCTCCCTTTCCAGCTCGCTAGCCCCTGTTCAGAGCATCATTCTACCTTATTACTTAGAATTACCTTAATTCCTTTCAATATCATTTATACTTCTAAATTTCTGGGAATGTTGAAATTCTCCAATGACAAGAGAGGCATTCTCTAAATTTCTTCTCCAATAGCTTGAACCCAGACTACTCAGATAATTTGTTCTGAGAAACTCAAAACATTAATTCAAATATGAGTTTTAATGCACAAAAATTAAATCTATATCTAGTTATTTTGGATGCTTCAAATGAACTTTATTTTGTATCTTGTATATTGGACACTAACTGAAGTTTAGGAGGGGAAGAACTGCTGAAGTGAAGAGCCAGTGAATTATATGCTCTCTTGAAACTTAATGGCAAGCTTTCATCCCAGAAACATAAGGGGATTCTTGAGGCCTGCAGTTGCATTCCTGCCGCTCAGGGTAATCAATAAAATCTGGGGCAGGCAAGCCAGACAGGATCATTAAGGATTTGTTCCAGATTGTGAATGTTGGACAAACTGGAAGAATGAAGGTCACATCAAAAGTATGAAGATGGAGAGAGTTAGCTGGATCATAGAAAGACAGCATGTTGTTGTCATAATCCAGAAGGACACCCAGACGCTTCAACTGTGGGGGCACATCCACCAGCATTTCCTTGTTGTTATGTCTCACTACAAAGTTACTATTGCATCGAGAGAAAACCCATGATGAGGCATTCTTGCCAATCCATTCATTCTTGGGAGCTGATTTGTAGGCAATGCCAACTGCATACCTGTGAAACAGTGGAAAGGAGAAATAAATATTTATTAATGATCTGAGTTGTGCTAGATACCATACAGGATATATGATAGAATACATGTTTCTTCCTTAAATAGTTTATGTTTAGGTCCATAATGTTGAACTTTTTAAAACTTAAACTAGAACTTTTAAAAGTTAGCAATTAGAAGTGGTGTAGTAGTTTCCAACTCTGAGCTCAGTATATTTTTCATGATTTTATCTTAAAAAGCTGGCACATTTTTCGAGGAGTGGTTTTATCACATGTCTTTTAACCTTGACTTACTGGTATTATGTTTGTGTTATAGAACTGGATCTCCCAGGAACCTAACAACAGGGGGGAGAAAAGAAAAGTGAGATCCACTCACCATGTTGAGGAACCCATGACCACCTCCCAGTAGTGGCAGCCACTGTCAATGAATATATTCCCTGCAGCTCCATAGCACCCTGTGCCACTAAATCTCTCTGGGGTATGGCTCTTCTTCAGAGAGCTTTCATCCTTCTCCATCTGCAATCCATCATTAGAGATCTTCAACTTCTTGTGAGTCATTTTGGGATCCAGTTTAAAGGGTTGGCCTGAAAAAAGTAGAAAAAAGAAAATGCATGAGGAAATATTTATGAGTTCTTTGTCCTCCAGAACCATCACTAGCAGAGGAGCCTTGATATGAAGGTCATTTTTGGGTCAATGCAAGTTGGCTCCTGTTGGATTATATTAAGGAAGCAGGCCAGAAGCCACCATTTTCAACAAAATAAGAATATGCTGCCCTGGTCAGTGTAGCTAAGTTGTTTGGAGTGTTGGCCCACACACAGAAAGGTAGCAGGTTTGATTCTCGGCCAGGGCATGTGCAGGAGGCAACCAATTGTTGTTGTTTTCTCTCTCTCTTCCTCTCTCTAAATCAGTAAAGAAACTGGGGTAAGGATTTAAAAAAAAGAATATGTTGTCCCCTTTTCATATATTATCAAATTAAAAGGGGACTCTTAGGATCTCAAATATGTTTTTAATTTTGCTTTTTTTCAGTACGTGGGTTGGTATCTGAGCAGATATTAGGGGAAGGAGTGTTTGAGGTAAGACAGTGAGGGAATTGATGAGATAATTGCTGCTTGTTGACGGAACAAAACTGAAAATAACTCAGCAACAGGACAATGTTTTTACCTTCTTACAACTGGGATCTAAATAATATAATTAGGTAACTTTATTAGAGTAAGTATTGCATTATCGATGGTCAGAGAAAATATGTTATGTAGGATCATTCACAACAAATAATTCTTTATAGTCATATGACAAAACCAGGTACTAACAACACCATTTACTGTGTATGGCAAGAACCATATCATACAAAATTTGTCTGTGGCAGACACTGTTGGTGAACACAACATCCATTCCTTACTTTTTTCCATTACCCAGTCTCACTGTAGAGGCCAGAAAAGCTAAATACTCCAGTGCCTAGCCTCCCTTGCTGCTAAGAGTGGCTAATAAAATGGAAGTAGTTAGAAGCAGAAATGAGACAGGGTGTGAGAACCTTCTAAGAAAGTACATGTTTTCATGATAAAAGGGACAGCCACCATGTATACCAGCCCTTTTCCCCTTCTTCCTATCTTGAAAGAAAATATGACATCTAGAGGTTACATTGGCTATGTTGTGACCATATGGCAAAAAGCCAATACAGAAGGGAGAAAGCCTGGGTCTTTTACGACGTCACAGAAATGATGCAACAGCCCTGAAATGCCTACCTTCAAACCTCTTGCTATGTTAGAGAAAGAAAAACAATACTTTGTTTAAGCTACCAACAAGTAACTATTTGTTAAGCTAAGTTAGTTGAATTTTCTGTCACTTGTGGTCAAAAGCATTCCTAACAGGTATGGTTTCTCTGCAGTAGGATTTTATCAGAGTATCACAAATACAGTCCTGCTCTACAAAACAATGTTTTGCTCAGTGATGGGCCACATATAGGAGAGTGGTATACCATATAGCTTAGGTGTGGAGTAGGCTACATATCTGGGTCTGTGTAAGTACACTCAATGATGATTGCACAACGAAATTGCCTAAGGATTCATTTCTCAGAATGTTTCCACATTGTTAAGTAGTAGTCTTTTACTTGACTGCTCCCAAGCATGAGGATGGGGTGCAGAGAAAAACTCTTTACTAACATCCTCCCAAGCCACCAGCTATTTTATGTATATCTGTGTCCAAATATCTTTCAGACTCTTGAACAACCCCTTGACCAAAGCACAAAATACAACAGTAAAGCTCCTCTACCAGGGGCCTCTGATGTCTCCTCAGGCTAAGTATACTCCCTGGCACAGAGGGGGAAAACTGATGTCTCCTTTCAGAATCACCATAACATACTGTTTGTTTTCAGTCGGGTAGGTTCACTGCTCCGGCTGCCTGCTTGGTTTATGGCTTTAACAATAAAGATGTAGCGTGTCCCACTCTGGAGTCCATGTACTGTGTAATGGTTCTGCTTAATGTTGGGCACAATCATCCAGCTATCCACTGAATTATATAGACCTGTAACACGGGGAAAGACAAGGACATTAACCAGCAGGTAATAGAAATAGGATGAGAAGCACACTGAAAATTCATCACAAACCTCCCAAAATTGAATTTTATTTTGTTTTCTTGTAAGTCTTGGAAGACATAGTGAGATGAATCTCCTCTGCTTCTTTCCTCCCATGGAGCTACGCTCATGTCTGGTTCCTTGCTTCTGGTAATTGAATGTAACCACTAGCGAAAGTTAGGTTACTTCAATTTTCTTCCAAATAATATAGGAAAAACTACTCTACAAAATCACAGAATCATCTCTTTTATGGAGCCTCTAGATCTTTACCCCGAAGGTCCACGTCCAATCCTCTGAGAACTGAGTCTGGCCTTGTATGGATGGAGCAGTCCTGTGCAGAGCATAGGAACATTGAATCTCAAAGCCGAAAGGTGACATAGACACCATATTTCCCTCATTTCGCAAATGGGAAACTGAGATGTAGAGAAGAAAAGTGACTTGCCCAAGGCCACAGGTAGCTGTTGATGGTGCTGAGAGCAGAAGAACCCTGGTCTCTTTAATCCTAGTCCAGTGTTCTCTCCACTACATCACAAGTCACAGGGTGAACAAGTTTTGTTGTCTCTGTAAGGTAGCAACTCTTTCAGGGCTTATGATTCAACTCTCCCATCCCATCCTCACTCTTATTTCCAAGACTAGTTGGGCTCCAAGGTATCATAGGGAAGCCAAGGAGGTGACATGATAACCAAAGCAAAATCTCCCCTCACTTGACACTACAGTTTTATCCTTTCCTCTTCTGATTCCAATATTCATTTGAGGTTGGGTAGCCCAGAAACACAGTTGTCTGGCACCTTCTTTCCTCCCAAGTAGGGAAAAGATTCAGAGATCTAGGTTTCTGCTTTTGAAACTCTTTAGACCATAAACATTGACTTAAACAGAGAAAAATGTACACAATTAAAAACATGTATTTGTGTAACTTTTAATAAAAGAGGGATCAACATTCTAGTCTGTGGACTACCTATGTTTCTCTCTTCTGTTATCTTCTTTTCAGTCAGTTTACTGCTTTTTAAATACAATTATACAAAAGGGTGGAAAGGAAAGGGCAAGGAAAATGAGTGGTGAATTTAGTCACTTCTATTCAGCTGTAGTAAAGGGTTTAAGTGAGATTGAAAATAAAAAACAATGAGTTTTTTTCAAGTGATCTGATTAGGAGAGTTTCTAATTAATTGGGGGGGAAGGTAGAAAAAGTCTAAATTAAAACTAGAAAAAGAAGCACAATGCAAGGCAAAAAGATATGCTATAGAAAGAATAATAATCAATAGAAATGATTAGTGATTCTTAGGAAAAGATAATAAAGGATAAGAGCCAGGGACAATGCTTGGCTGTCTACATACCAATGCATAGTATGAATCATAAACTGCACATGAAATTATAATACAAAGAGGGAAATATATGATCTTCCAGTCATACTTCTAACAATGCGAATCAAAAAACAAAACAAACTTCACAATGGATTATGCAACTGAAAAAATGTATGAGGAAGACCTGTATGAACTGATATGGAGTGATTTCCAGGGTATATTTTTAACTGAATAAAGCAAATTGTGTAAGAGCATATATAATATGCTACCTTTTGCAAGAAAGAAAGGCAAATAAGAAAACATACATAGCCCAGCCAGGCATGGCTCAGCGGTTGAGCGTCAACCTAGGATCCAGGCGATCGGGGCTCAATTCCCGGTGAGGGCACATGCCCCGGTTGCGGGCTTGATCAGTGACTCTCTCATCATTGATGTTTATCTCTCTCTCCCTCTCCTTTCCTCTCTCTGAAATCAATAAAGATATATTTTAAAAAAGAAAAAGAAAACATATATAGATTTGCCTGGTGTTATAAAACAACAATAACAACAGGAAGAAAAAAACAGAGAATAATGAAGTTGCTTACTTACAAGGGATGGGGGTGAATGAACAGGATTTAAAGGATATGGGAGAGAATGATACTTCTCTCAGTATACCTTTTTTGTACAGTTTTCCATTTTGGAATCATGTTGTTTTATAAATTTAAAAATTAAAATGAAATTAATATGATTGGGAAGAGTGAGTACTAAAATTGAAGGCAAACTGAAACAAATGAAAACCAACTGCATTTCGAATGAAAAATAACCACACCAAAGGGATGGGGGCAGGAAGAGAATTGCAAACAAGTCCTGAACTATTGTTTGTTTTGTAGTGGTAGGGCAAAGCAAATTCTGAAACTATTGTAGATATATTATGGAAGTAAGCAAATGAGTACATGTATTAATGTTAGGAGCCAGGGTTCTCACTGTGGAAGTAGGAACATACAAATATGGCAAGAAAGAACCTGTGGGGATGGACTGGAATTGGAGGTGTTGGTAGAAACTCATTATATCTAAAATATATATATA